TTACGGCTAACCTTGTATGCATTGTGAGTTTGGCAGCGATCAAAAAAGTTCGCCTCACTGTATTTCGCTGTACGATGATGGATGATGATGATGCTGAATCAGCTGTACAATGGTTCTTCAGTGGTCGTGACACGTTGACTCTGCACGACAAATGCACTTGCGTAAACAAATAAAGTCCAAACGTAGTATACAAGCAACTATTGTGGTCTGGTTCGTGATATGGAAACCACGAGAAAGTACAGAATAACTACTCCTCGGTAGAGCTTCTAGACACAAGATTCAGAGAGATGCGACACATTAAAGGAGTTTTACTCCAAACGGAACTCAACTGGGTTCACCACGGTCGTAATCGTGAACGAAAACCACACACAGAGTTTGTTAAAGACTAAGTGATTAAGAACATGGGCAAAAATAAATGCAACTAACTTGTACTCCTCTTCCACTTTTTCATTCGGATCAAGTTGAATGATTGCTTCCTGGAAATAAGTGGATAAATTCGGTCGAAACAACCGCCGCTCATCACGACAAGCCGCCAAATTGTCCGGACAGGCGTTCCACAGTTCATCTAGTGCTCTATTGCCGAATCTATAGATTTTATTCCCGGACCGATCGACCAATGGATTTATCCGGCGCTTTCTGTGCAAATACATTTATACCGACAATCAGCATTAAAGTGCTTTAAAAAAACTGCACCGAGAACAACAGAATGACAAGAGAACAGTGTAATTTTAGAGAAAGTATGACACGATCCCAAAGTATCACGTATAATTAAAAATTAACTAAAGCCATTTTACCGCTTAAGCTGAAATCTTATACCAATTCGACCACAGGTGATGAAAAATGTTGCTTGAAGGAGCAGGGTATAATTTAACGCTATAATCTACTATCAATTAGTCCAATTTCCTAAAAGCTCGAAGTCACTACCCAATGAGTTAAAGTTAACCTATTGGACAAATTCGACTTGTGTAAACCTATGATCGACTGAGGAATCGCAGTTTATGTATTTTATATTGCGGTATAGCTACCACGACTTTTATTCCCATCAAGACCGAAGGAAGAAATATGTCGGGGATATCAACATTTCGTTTAATCCTCTCAATCACTGACGTAAAGTAAACAAGAACGCCTATAACACATTGGGTTTATAAATTCTAGTGAACGGACATGTACAGATAGACAGAGGCAATTGGAATTTAACACAAGAGATCAACCATGCGCCAAGTGAACTGATTGCGTCAACAACTTTCGGGTGCACAGAACGGAATGATTAACAACACCTCACTAGTTGCTAACAGTTTTGCATTACAGTTACGTAATAAAGGTTTGAAAGAGGAAGTGGGATCATCGTCCATATAGTTCATCGCTGAAGTCCACGAACCAAGATGGCATACACACATTTGAACTTAGGAACGTTTTTGGCTATCCTGTTGGTCCTTGATTTGCATTATTGTGGGACGAAAAATACGACCTTACATGATACGAACGAAAATTCGATAGTGCTGTGTTGATAGATTCCTTGGAAATCATCATCATCCTCATGATCATGGTCGTACAGTGAAATACAGGTAAACGAACTTCGCTGATTCCTACCAAGCTAGCACAGTGGATGAGAACTAAGTGTGCAAGGTGTTTAAGCAGCGAACATGATTTGAGGGGGAAGAAAAGAAAGTGAATCACTGTGATTAGCACGCAGCGTACGCAATCTAACTGTGCACACACACACACACACACACTTCTTTGAGCCTTGTGAACTGGTGTGAAATGACAACAATAACGTCCGTTCTGTCAGTGAGCTGTCGTATGCATCAGTGACCAATCAATCAGTAACGAGATCCTCTGGATTCCAAACTGGAAGAAGGAAGATACCTATCCTACCTCTTCTTTCTGTGCATTTCTCCACACCCCGACTCCACGTGGTTTTCTCCGGCCAGGATTAAAAATATTACCGTGCCCTTGGAAGATGTAAGGCCCATCAAGATTGCTGATTGCTGGACAATCCGATATCTCAGAATGGTCCCAGGATCGGATGCATAAGCAAAGTTCACTATAAAATGCATCGTGTCTATTCTGATACCAATGTCTATAAACTTCGCCATGCTACAGAGCTCCTACCCCCACATACCCACCTTTCCTCCCTGCAGGCACACATAATTGGGCCAGACAGGTGAAAACGAACCAACCGACTCTGTGAGGTACTTTTAGCGATTAAACAATCAAAACGCTAGGTAAATCGAAATCAGCGCTAGTTAGACGGCACGCAGGCAGTCCAACGAGTCACAAATTCATATTGAATCACACCAATTGCAATGGGACTCATTGTTATTAGCTCTCCCGCTGAGTTGGAGCACAATGTCGGGGAACACTGCTTGAAACAAGAACCGTTCAATATCTCAGAAAGACGTGGAAGCTTAGATTGGGATGAACCGACAGAGTCTGAACAAATTAAGTAAACTTATCAGAGATATAAAACTTGAGTAAAAAGTAAGTAAACATACCTAGGAGTATCTGGCGGTTTTTCAGCTGGACGAACAAACGATGGACAACCTTCATTTTTCCAGCGATTCCACAAGGATTCGCGGTCCAGAATCCGCTCGACTGTGTACAGGAAACTGTCACCTGATTGGTCTTCTAAAGAGCGATTGGAAAGCAAATGCAGTATTGATTCTCGCTTGCGATGAATCCAACTGATCTGTTCGTCATTCAGAACCTGTTCCGGGCTGAATTCGAAAAAATACCATGTTCAGAACATACTCTGACAAATCCAATCACTAAGCATCTAATGAAGCACTAACTGCACCATACAATGTACAGGAAAACTATCATAATCAGGACCGAAACATTTTTACCGGCACTGTATCTTGGGACCAGCATAAATTATTTCGTGAATACCTCTCTTGCACTGCGTAAATTCAAGTACTTGCAGTTTTTTTAACGGAAGACTATTTGATGAATATCATAAGATTAACCATGGAGTAGAAAACCAGAACATTTCTTTTGCGGGGAAAACTTTACAAAAACCGCAATACTAAGTTACAAAATCTACGTCACTCATCTTTACTGGTAAAACACGTATTGTTTTATGTCCTTATAATTAAATGGCCCGACAAACTTTTGGAGAAGGACCATGGGGTCAATGCATTTAGCTCTGCTTGATGGTCATGCAGAAATCTTTGGGCCTAGTGGCAACGGCGATGACTGCAGTATTAATCGCTCGACCTCCACAACAGATACGAACACACTCATTGCCAGTTGATCGGTACACACTTGATTTTGTCATTATAGCGAGAGGGAGATTGTGGCGATTTCTATCAACCTGAGAAAGCGTGGCATGTAACAGTAGATTATAATCACTTGTTTCAGGAGATGCTACTTTCAAATTCCATCACTAGTCAGACAAAAGATACCGAGGGTCATGTGTCAGGGAAAGTGTTTTTGGAAGCGGATCAATTTCTCATCTGGTTCTGGAAAACTGCAGCCTTATGCACCTGCATTAAAACACCAAAATGTTGTCGGCATTGGAGTCCACAGTTATTTGTAGAATATGCTAATACAACGGGCCTTAGCCGATTGTTGAACGAGATCCATTTAAGAAGCAAAATCTTGACAAAGGCAAGACTGCGAACTTAACAACATGATACGCGATAAGTGGGATGTGAGATTTAAACAACGGCTAAGGAATAGTACCTGTACTGAAGTAAGGCTTTGTATTCGTGTAACGGAGCACAGCATATGGTCATAACAACAGGCGCTGCGCGCAAAATCGGCTTTCTCTTCCGCCATAGACGCTTCTTCTCCTCCATTCAACTGCTGTCGTTTTACAAAGCTCAGATTCACTCTACACTTGAAAACTGCAGTCATGTATGGAGTGGAGCTTTCTCTATCTGTCTCTTTTTGATAGGGTTCCAGATAAGGTCGTCTTACCAACGACCTGTCCCCAACATGCAACTAGCAGTCACTGGTGCCCCATCGAGAAGTCGCCTTCTTATCTTCATTCTGCCGAAACTATTTTGGTTTTGGTTCACCTGAACTATCCTCTTCCGTCACTCTCTTCCTTTTACGCCCCATACGCAAGCGGCCAGTCACCCATTTCAAGTAAATAACTCCAAGTATTGCATTTCTAATTTTCATCCATCTTTTTCTCCAGAACAGCACAATAGCAGAAAACTCTCCCTCTTTCGGTCTTCTCTTTAACCTACAACATAATTATTTTTAATTGCAGAATCAACGAGCTGGTGCTAGCTTGAATGCTCCCTTTGCCATCCTATAAACAGTAAACCCTTGGATTATGGAATTTACTCGTTTGACTGCATTCTTTGCACAATGACTTCCTATGCAGGCTTCTGAAGTGCTCAGTTTTGCAACTTGCGCATTAGACATCTACAAGCAGATTCAAAGATCAATGAAGCTTCAGAACTTAAAAAAACATTTGATGGTGTATCATCTACAAACCTATTACGCAACGAGATTTGGCAAGTGAGAACCACGTGATCTGAAATTTTACGGATCGGAAGGAGGGGCAAAGGGAAGGAGTGGTGAACAGAAGGCAAATAATTAAACAAAGGTTTGGATAGCCGTTAATCACTACTAACTCAACTCAATGCAATGGTTGGAGAGATCCTGATCATCCTATGCGACGACCAATTCGTTTTAGTTTGTGCATTAATTAGAAGTTGATAGACAGGTACTATCAGAGAGTCTAACCACTAAGCAAGATAACGGTTCTCCACTAAATCCTTTAGTTCTGACAAGAGCCTAGCCGCAAGATAGCGGACAAATCGAAGTTAAGGCTCATTTACCTCGATCGGTTATTCTTCCATTGCTTTGATCGAATGAGACGCAAACTCGAGTTGAACAACGAAACGGAGGACCAGATAGTTGGACTTCGTCTGATTTCTACCCTCTCACCATTTAGGCATGGTTAAACTTTCGGCTTTACATGTCTATTTCTGAATAAATACGAAGTCCAAGAAAGTGACATCCAAAAGGATTTTAAAGCTCCACACAAAATGAACTCACGTCTTGAACTTCGTTGGCGTGGTAAGGTATTGAAACACAAGCAACAATTGAATGAGAATGTATCTCCGGAAACTGGAATCCATCAGCTGTAGGTCTAGCAACTGATCATCGACGTGAATAAGCGCAGTTGGAATAAGATAAAACGAATGTGATTAGATTAGTAACTGCGAATCATGTATACATTATGTACATATTTATATATATTTTGCAGCACCGAATAGATTTGTGTTGGACAGCTGTTTTAGAAACAGTTTATTTATGAATCAATACTAAGGTTTAACGTTTTGCAGGCGTGTCTGATGCTACTAGCCGCAACAAACATGACAAAAGATTACTGGATATCCACGTCTGGCGAGCGACAAGAACCGCAAAACCGGTCATGCGCCTCCAGGGAAATTTGCTCGAGTCACTTACGTACTAATTACTGTAAAACATATGGAGCGAGAGAGATTAGTGAGAAAAAAATTCACATAGAAAAACAGCAACAATACCTTTTCACTGGTTAGATATTTGGAAAACTTGGCACTGTTCGTTTCAAACTGCATGTCTCCATCCTCTGCACATTGAAGTTTGATGCTGGAAAAGATTTCCAATACCGTGTCTGCACTATTTTGGAAGGCTGACCATCTATTCTTGTCATAGCAAGAGGTCGGGATTTTGAAGAAATCTTGGATGGACCAGAACTTCACATACAACGATGCATCCACTTCCACAGGCATAGGGACATCAGTTGTCTCCCCTTCTTCCAGCTCATCTGNATCTGTTCCATCCATTGAGAGCTGATGTTTGAAAGCGGACACATCCGGAGTTTTGTTGTATAGGATCTCTTTTTCAACATTGAAATTGCTCATCAAATTTAATCCAGACTTTTCATCCAATGGAAAAAGTCGCGAAAGAAACAGCTGAATCTGGCCACAAAACACCGTATTCTGTGACTTAGACAATCGTCGTAGAAGGTCTACCAATAAAAGTATATACATAATAAAGGATTTGAATTACCGTTGCACATCCGAAGTAGCGTGTTCCTCCCTGATCCGAATAGAGGAACCTAAGTGAAGCGATAATTAACCCACATCCTAAATGAATTACGTCTTTTAGTGTAGTGATTGTCTCTTCCATGAAACCAAAAAGCTGCTGACAAACGGATATAGGTTTTGTGTTAAACACGTCAGCAAACAGAAGGAACGGAGTGGGCGCGGAGCAAATATCTGCGGGATAATCATGATGAGAAAGATTCCGGATAAAACTTACTGGCTAACGCAGCAGCCACACCCATTTTTAATAACGATTTGACTTCCTCCAGGGAATGAGATGCAAGCAAGCGCAACATACGTCTTCGTAAAGCCACATCAACCACAGACTTTTTGTCACTAAAAACGAGGCTCAAAGCAACCGGACAACTCACTTTAGTTTCATTTTTTCTGATTCACACTTAAGTTGGAGAAGAGAAAACCCGCCGGGATCCTCTAACAAATTCTACAACCGCGAGTGTGAAAATATCACTCCCAAGACTAACCTCAATCCTTGCGAAGCAAACATCTTGCGATTCCATCTGTAAACAATACAAAGTAACACTATTAATAAATGAAGTGACATGACGTTCGGTGATCAGCCAAAAAATGAAACGAATATATGTTATACATATTTAATAAGCCCTTGAAGACAAGCATGGCACCACCAGTGATAACGTAAATGGTGGGTCAAGGTACAGATGGGTGAAACTGAAATGGATCTAACAGATACTGGAAAACTAAGTTCCACAATTTGCTTGAGGACGGAAAAGTGCCACGTTATCCAGACCAATAGAGGCGAATTTTATTGGGGAATTTACAACCGGAGCGATGTTTGAAAACCGCAATCCATTGCGACTCGGGAGAGCAGAGCTGTATGCTACGGAGCGCGTTCCCCGGATAGGGGAACGGCCGTCATCTCGCGGCTAACCGTGAATAAGGTGGGCCTCGGCCTACCGGAAAAGTGGTCGCGGACGATCAGCGGTGCGCTCGAGGATGTGGTGGGTTTACCTACAGGCAAGAGTACTCCGCACAAAACACCACATATATNCCCGCCACTAAATATGGCCATCGCTCCTTGTCCAGATCCATCGCTCGACAAGGTTTTCCAGAAGAGGCGAAGGAACCGAAGACTGGTCACCGGCTCATCTGGAACATTACTGCTGCCTTACAGTCCGCGCTTGGTTGCGCAAAGGCTAGAGTGCATCCTCGAACAAGGCCTACTCTGGACCGGGCGACCGAGTAGTACAATGGCGCACAACGCACAGAACCATGAACCATGAATCTTACTCTTACGACTATGTCTTCTGACGCTTCTCCAACATGCACAAAACATTCTACACCGTACACACCCTCTCGTCCTCCCAGCCTCCCCCCAGCTCATCTCTACCTCCGTAACACTCCTCCACCTCTCTCGGGTTCTTCAGACGATCGTATTAACAGTAGTGCCTCGGGCGGAAGTTCTGCCGCTGTTCACTATTGTTCTACCTCGACTAGCATCCAAGTCTCACCGAATCCTCCACCAGCTGAAGCCTTTCTTCGCCCCCGATGTCCCTTCAAACTAGCCACGTTTAATGTGCGTACTCTGATGCGTATAGGACAACAGGCGTGTTTAGTTCGTACGATCGAAACCCTAACCATCGATGTGTTGCATCCAAGGAACTCGCATTCAAGACTCCAGCTCCACTATCCAATTGACGTCCCCGTCAAACCCATCAGTGAAGTTTCACTTACGCCTTTCTGGGGACCCGGAGGCTGCGGCTTCCGGTCGTGCAGGCGTCGACGTGGCTCTCAAAGAGAGAGCTGAAGCCGCGCTCCTGGAATGGACACCAGTCGACAGTAGGTTGTGCGCAGTGAGACTTAGAGGTGCGTGCAAGATAAGCAGCCGTTGCCATGATAGACGAAACTTGTTTGCCGTTTCAGCGTACGCTCCAACGGACTGCAGCCCAGATGCAGTCAATGATGAATTTTACCACAATCTACACGACCTCTTGCGCAAAGCGACCCAGGCTGATATCGTGATTGCAGCGGGAGATATAAATGCTAGAGTATGCCGGTTGACTTCGAGTGAGGCGCACCTGGGAGGTCCTTTTGGACTAGATTTCTGTCGCTCGGAAAACGGCTGTTTGCTCTCTGTTCCGACCAACGCCTATTTCTCGCCAGTACGAACTTCAGACGTTCCAACTGCCGGTAAACCACCTGGCGTCCGCCCTCCTCGAGTCAGAGACGGACACAGATCGACCACATTGCTATAAGCCACAAATGGCGAGGCTGTATTCAAGACTGCCGATCGTACTGGAGCACTCCCCTCGAATCCAATAACGCATTAGTATGCGCCAAGCTGTCCATGTGCTTCAGTGAGCGTTCCAAACATACGACACAACGACGGTTAGACCATGATAAGCTGTCCAAACCAACTTGTCTAACTGTCTTCCAAAACGCGCTGGCTGAAAATCTAGAACCAACCCCACCCGACAATGTCAACCAACCCTGGTCGCTTATCAAGAATGCTTTGAGTTCTGCTGGCTTAGTTAGTTGTGGTCTGACACGTCGCGCCGTGACACCCTGGATCTCTGCAGAGTCTCTATGCCTTCTTGACGCACGTCGGTCAATTCCGACCGGCAGCGAGCAAACACGACTCGTAACGAGATGTAAACTTGACGCAAGCCTACGCAGAGACCGCGAGATCTGGTGGTCTCAACGCGCATCAGAGATAGAACGTGCTGCCGCCATGGGTAATTTCCGTAAGCTGTTCCATCTCATCCGGGTCACCGATAGGAAAGCTTTAGGTGTGAGCGAAATGATCTGCGAAGCTGACGGTTCTCCCATTCAATCAACAGCGACGCCTTGAACGCTGGGCGGAGCACTTCGAAGCACAATTTAGCTGGCCATCAACGTCAGCTTTTCACACAGCTATTCCGGCACACGTTCCATGGTGTCTCAACAGACCCACCTTCTGAGGCGGAAATCCGTACGAAAATCCAAGCCTTGGGAAGTCACAAAGCACCGGGCTCCGATGGCCTTCCTTCTGCTCTATTTAAAGATGGTGGAATAAAGCTTGTTAGAGAATTCCAAGTTCTGTTCTCTAAGGTTTTGAACACCGAGCAGGTCCCCTTCCCGTGGGAGAATCGATTGTCGTCCCCATCTTCAAAAGGGGCCGGCGCAATGAATGTGCCGACCATGGGGGTATAAGCCTAATCCCGATAGCATCAAAGCTGTTGGCATCCGTCATTCNTAAAGTGTGGTACACTGAGCAAGTCCCCTCCTAATGGGGAGAATCGATTGTTGTCCCCATCTTCAAAAAGGGCCCGCGCAATGAGTGCACCAATCATAGGGGGTATAAGCCTGATCCTGATAGCGTCAAAGCTGTTGGCGTCCGTCATTCACCGCCGATTGTACACTACGCGTGAGGAGCAGACCCGCGAGGAGTAGGCTGAGTCTCGTGTCGGTCGTGGGTGCATCGATCAAATCTTCACCCTCCGACAGCTGCTAGAGCACCGTCATGC